TAAAATTATAGTTTACTCCTTTCCCTCCACTCTAGAGCCCATGAAAGTACGTAAAATAAGGTAATATTTTGAAACTCAGATATAGCAGTGTCACCAATGCTGGATACTGAATTTTACAAATAAGTTCAAAGAAATGATAGCCATGTGAGCAGATTATCATGCCTATCATAAATTAGCACCAAGTCTTTTTAATGTACTAAGGAACTATTTATTACATGGAAACAACACGGTGCCTGCTTTGGGAGGTAGTCTTAGACAATGTCTTTGAAGTTATTTCATTCTTGTTCTTACTTCAAGTATCTTAGACATGTGTCTTTATATAGTCCCCTTGAAGGTAGGGACCATATATGAATACTCCACATATTTCCCAAAGAAGAGAACTCTGGAGATTAAAAAATGGATATTATATGAGAAAAAAATATCACCAAATTTTAACTTTATGACATGGCATCATTTTTCTTCTCCTGTTTCTCTATTATAAAGGATTACATGAATTCTTACTAACTCTAAAATTTTTTAAATTAGTATACGCAATAAAAACAAAAAAACTCATACTCTTACACTATATACACCTCCCAATTTATCCATTGGAGACTCTACTAGCTGTTTGATAAGTAGCTCCATTTTAAACATACACTCTTGATTTTAATCCCATATAATTAATATTATTATTCTGACTGTATTTATATGGTCACTGGGTTTATATAACATTGGGCTTTATTTAAAATTACCTTATTTTTTCATAAACATTTTAAGGAACAGTATCAGTTTATGAAATGCATTTTAATGTGCAGTTTGAACATTCCTATTCTTTCCTTCTCAGTATTGAATTCCGCTTATACAACCAACAAATTGACTCTATGGTTGTTTGATGGTAGATTCTATTTATATTGATAAATGAATGTCTGGTACTGAAAGTACCCCTCATTACTACATTTTTTTTTCTTCACAGATGGTCTTGATTATTTTCTTTATTTTCTTACATTTAGTCTTAAAGACATATTTTAGAGTTTCTTTGTTAAGTTCCTCCCGATCTTGCTGTGATTACCATTGTAATAGCAATTTAATTAATTTTGGAGGATTTAACCTACTATCTCTTTTTACTTGTTTATGTTATTTTTATGCCTCATTAAATTTTTGATGTATTCTTCACCTGTATCACTGTTGAAGTTGTTTTAGTAATGTAATGGGATATTTTCTATAATATATTTCCTATGAATTATTGATAGAATATAGAAGAGATATATAATTTTTAATATTATCCTTCTAGTATCTCATTTTTCAGTAGATTCCTTTGGGTTTTCAAGGTAAGCAATCACATAGCTACAAATAATTCTTTGGTAATTTCCTATGACAAAACATTTCATGAAATTTAAATTTGCTTTAGTAAAATAAATTGTATAAGCTAGGGGTTTAGGCATAATGCTGCTCGGTTTCTTAAAGGCTCTGGATTCAACTACAGTAGCATTTGGAAGGATTTTTTTACATCTATATTTTGACAATTCAAAATAGAAATAATTCCTTCTCTGTAGTTCTGTCAGCTTTCAGGATTCAGTATCAGGTTGATACTGGGTTAACAAAGGAATTAGGAAATTTATCTTTTATTATTTCCTGAAAAATAGTTTCAAAGGAAAACAACTACATTAAATGCACAGGTGTGTAGGAGGCGATCTAGAAAAGCATGAAGGGAGCATGGGTACTGTAGGTGGCATTCGGCTGACCCTCCGAAGCTAAGGGAGACCCCATCATCCCATCTTTATTTCTCACCTTAGTGATTTAAAAACAGAAATACATTATCAACTTCCCATTGTGATATGGTAAAATATTGACTTTACTCCTGAGAGATACTTCAATAAATATACTGGGAACACGTTTTCTTGTGGATCTCTTTTACGAATCGCATTCAAGCTTGTTACATGCATCTTCACTAAGTATTATCAAGCATTTGTAATACAACATTAAATGCAGCCCTGAAATCACATAAAATGTTTAAAAAATGTTTAAAGTACTATAATATTTTGCAGTGAGATAGACCTTTTTCTATTTTACATGTAACTGGCATGCAGATCAGCAGGCAACTGCAAAAGCCAGAACGTTAAGATAACATTATATAAACAAAATTAACCTTATTTTGGCTTCAGAACACTGTAAATAATATTCTTCAGGGTTGAATGTAATGTTTATGCTGAAGTGTTTCCTTAAATAAAGTTTTTAAATCTTTACTAATCTTGCTATCCCTGAGTAGAGACCTCCCCCCAAAAAAGACAAAACCTTCAGGAAAACATCGGTGCACCTCCGAGCCCATTGTATTTAAAGTTATAGTATAACCAAACAGAGGTAGAAGTTGCTTCACATAACAAAAACTTACAACCTTGGAACCTGAAATATTAATCAGTGGTTAACTGCAAACTGAACTCTAATTATGATCCATAGGGATTCCTTACCACAAACCACTGATTTCACTGGACTTCTTAAAAATCACTTCCTCTGAGGGACTGATCACAAAAAGTCAAACCTCCCATAGCTACAGGAAAGCAATTCATTTATTTGGGGTTGGCAGGGTATAACTGGTTTTATAAAATGCACATTCATTATATTACATTTTTAAAAATCAAGGCCTAAAGTTATAAAGAATATATTGTTAATCACCTCTAGAGTAATTTCTCCACCAAAATATCACTACTCTTAACTAACATTTTGGTGTAGATCATTACAGAATCTCTATTAAAAATATTTTCTAAAAAGGTTCATGCTCACTTGCAACATAACTAAAAATACTTCTCTTCAAACAGATATCATCTATTTCAAATATTATATATTTTGGAACTGTTTTTATTGTATTCTCTTACATGAGATCAAAAAGTATGTATCCAAATCACTATAAAACACTCAAAAGAATTTAAAAATCCATGTTAGGTAGTGTTACATACATAGTAACTATTTTATGTGTCTATATTGACCAAAATTAATGTCTTAAAATTGCATTAATATTATGGAATTCATGATTTGTTATTCATTTGGAAACACACCCAAAATATCTTTGCCAATACAGTAAACCCTCGATTTTGCAGACCTTGACATAAGGGACTTCTAAGTTAATAGACAAAATTTCTGCTCCATATGTAATATGTAAAAATTAACACCCTGATAATTTTAAAATGCTTTAACCAAGATTTGCTTATAATTAAATTAATTTTTGTTGTTAATTAGCTGTTATTTTTAACAGATTTTAGCAAATAGGCCAATGTTGTAAAAACAAAACAAAACACTGTAGTAATTTTGGAGACATAAATAAATATTCCATATCTAAAACTATAGTCTTCATATTTAAATCCAAGAGTCACTGCTGGTAAACAATGTTCCGGGAATGATTAGCACGTGATCACACTGCATTCACTTAGGTGTGTTGTCATGTGGTGTGACCTTCTGCAGCAGTTTTAACACGTGCAGACCGTTTTTTCTACAAGCGCTAAGCCACACCCCAGCACGTGCATTTATTTACTTGCGGTGAATGGTGAGTATATTTACTAGACCTATTCAGTATACATTTAAAATTGCAGTAATACATAAACTTTTCTGTGAAATTAGACTTTTTATACATACTTAATTTCAATTGCACAAATGTGTCTACATAAGTAAAAAAGGTAAACTAACTAATTTGTCAATATTTTAACATACTCATTCAGAAAACCTACTTTATTATATAACCAACTCTTGGCTTTAACAGACACCCCTTTCCTTGAATTAGTCTGTTATGTTGAGGTTTTACTATATTTTCTCTCCTCCCTACTTCCCAAACCTCCCTCCTTTCTGTCTTGGTCCCCACCTACTTCTTCCCTACCATTGGTGCTAATAACCTGAGTTATATTAGCACAATGATCAAAGCTGAAAATTATAGGATTTCACCAGGACACTTTTTTGTAAACTGTACGAATAGACAGTAAATATGGCCTCTTTGTATATATGTATTCATAGTCATAAAATATCTGTAAATAGAATCACAAAGAAACTAGTAATATATTTCTTCTGGGGAGGGAATTAGGTGGACTGGAAGTGGGGAACAGAAATGAGAAGAAGTTTTTTTGTTGTACACTTTAGTGCTATATAAATACTTACTAGACTGTCTATTCAAAACATTTTAATAAAAATATATCTGCATATATACAAACAAGTATAAAGTAACCAGCTTAATAGGACATAGGCTGCTCCTTCAGGTCCCATAACTTACTAGATGCCCAGAGAAATGAAATCACTGACTGTAACAGTGTCAGCTTATGCTGTACAATGAAAAAATAAGTTTACTCCAAAAACAGTTTCGGTTGCCATTTTATAAAAGGGTGCCATGACATATTTAGAGTACCATGGTTTGAATCAGTAACTCAGCAAAGGCATGTCAGTGCCTTCTATATGTGATAGCACCTAGCCTGAACTGACACACACGCAGCAGCAGCAGCAGCAGCAGCAGTGTGGCAGAGAAACCACCTAAGACTATTCCTCAGTTGCACTGGGGACAGCTGCCATGAGGTAAGAAAATGGGCAGAAATTCTCATTTTAATCTTGATCTTTTCTAAAAAAATAAGATATTCTGTTTCTTGGTATTATCAATCATATTATGCCCTTTGTATGATAGAACTAATGCTCAAGTTTCTGAGTTAGTTACACTGCTTCTCTATGCAGGGCTTACGTGCCCTTGATATTGCCTCACTATTTTTTTTTTTTTTTTTTTTTTTATCCTCACCCGAGGACATTCTTTCATTTTTTTGCACAGACAGAGTGGGAGGGAGAGAGAGGAAGAGAGAGAGAGGGAAACATCGATGTGAAAGGGACACATCGAGTGGCTGCCACCCGCACGACCAACCAGGGCCGGGGACAAACTGCAACCGAGGTACATGCCCTTAGCGGGAACCGAACCCAGGTCTCTCCGGACCGCAGGCGGACGCTCTAACCGCTGAGCCAAACCGGCCAGGGCGCCTCACTATTTTTTTGCTCTTGATTTGCAGGTAGTGAAATCAAAGTTATCTGAAGAAAATCACTTTATTAAAATAAAACGATCAAGAAATCATACAGTGGGAAAATATTTCAGCAATCAAAGCAAACTGCAACAACAAGACTCCGTAATAAATTTTCAATCGCCATATCACGTCAGAGGTCCGATTAATCAGGTTTGCTCTGAAATCCTTCTCAGCAGGATGTGTGTGAGTAAAGGATCTGTATAGACTCCCTGAAGGAGGACTGAATTTGGAATTGAAGACACACCACTAACCTGGAGGATCATCTAAGAACCAAATCCTGGGTATCACGTGTATTTTAGATTGATTGCATGCACTCATGCACACAGGTACACAGTTACACACCAAAGCACACATAGTTTAAAAAAAAGTAATAACACTTTTTCCCTATGTCTTTATAAAGTCAAGATGTGCACTTAAAAATCAGTTGGTTTTTAATGTGAAAGACAGAGCTAGAAAAAGTTTACACGAAATAGAATATGAATAAGAAGCAATGTGGGCTAGGTATTGCATTGTGATAATAAAGGGAAATGCAGACACTTTAATTATCTGGAAGAAAGCGTAATGCTATGAGTATTGTGTTATCTTCTCTATTGGCACAATACTGAAAAAGATAAAAGAGCAATTACATTCCACTTGCAAGTAGGGATTGCGCTTGTGTCCTTCACCAGGAGAAAACGGTGTTTGTGATGAATTCAGCTTTGTGAACCTAATGCTTATAAAAAACATTTTTCCTATGCTTTTTAAGTTTTATAACTGAAAAGAAAAGAACAGGAATGCTCCATAAGGGAATGCAAATAGGTTCTATGAGAGAGATAAGAAGTGTAATATTTTACAGTTAAAACACTAGTATATTTAACTTTGCATTCTGTAATTTTCATAAACATTCCCTCCTACCCTGTCCCTGACCTTGTATGGGTAACTGCAGTCTAAGTTGATTAAATATGTCATTTTAAAGTGCAAAACAAAATATAGTTCCTCATGTATTACTTTGTTTCATTGATGATATTACTTAAGAAAGCTTTGGTTTGCCATTAGAGACCTATATAATGTAAGATTGCAATTATATTTTATGTAAATATTTTGCAAAGGATTAGGAATTCTCAAGTGCATAGGCATTTATTTCCATTAGTCATTTGTATATGTCCACAAATACTCCTATGTTACTAGTAACTATATTTTTTTACTTTCCTGAACAATTGTATCTAATTCAAAATTTAGAATAGATGTAAATTATTTTTATTAAAACTGTGGAATACATATAAAACACATCTAATTCTAGTATTGAGAACGTTTTTCTTCTATATTTTAATTTCCAAATAGTAAATTTCTTTATTTTACAAATGCTTGTTGTGAGATAATATCTCATAGTTACAATGGTTTTTGAAGAATTATTTTTCTTTTGGGGGGAAAAAAGAGCTGACAGTGTTAATTCACCACATGGCGAAAATTACCAAATGTACAGGTACCTCAATTTTATTACTTTACAAAAAAATAAAACTATTTTTTGATCAATCAGTTCCCTAGTATAAATACCCACCTCCTTTAAATATTCTATTTTTATATTTTTATATGAAAGTAAATATCAATTTATATTTAACTGTCAAATTATTTTAAAGCAAAAGTATCACTTGATATAAACAATACATATCTGCATCTGATAAATGATAGATTTTTTTAAAAGAATGGTACAGAATTCACTTTTAAAATGGAAATTTTTCTAATATCTACAGCTATATGCAAACATCATTTTTAAGTTTCAATCATTTTTTTAATGAAACAAGATGCCAATTCATGCAGCCTCTCCATCAAGTTTTAATGTATTACATTCTCTGTAACAGGATAATAGTTAGTGGGTGTTTTTGCAATTAACTGTCAACATAGCTGTAATAACTGTTTGACTGAGGTTTGTCTGGCATTTACCTCATCACCATTGAAATAATAATGAATTTTAGACACAACTGTAATGATGTTATTAATAAACGTCTTAGTAATACTCTGTGTTTAGAGAGTATCTTTTATTTTCTTTTTCACTGTAGGTATAAAACCATACAAATGGTGACCACTTGGTACAGATATTATCAGGCAGATTCAACTACTGGAGTGTGGTTTAATAAGATGACTACACTCCAGCCCTGATAGTCTCTAAATTTTCATCAGGTGAGCTCCCTGTTGAACAATGATCAAAGCTTTTGAACATAGTGCTGTAGCAAGCTTTTTCTTTTTTTAAGATGAGGCACTGAAATGCTAGGAATCATTATTTTGTATTGATTGATTGAGAGATAAAAACATTGATTTTTGTTTTGTTGTTTCACTTATTTATGCATTCATTGCCCTGACCTGAGATCACACGCATTACCTTGGCGTATTGGGAGAATAATCCAACCAACTGAGCTACCTGACTAGAGTACTAGGAATCATTTTAGTTACTCCTTAATTAAAAACACTGCAATTCATTTTACCTTGGGGAAATAGGTGTGTGTATATGTATGCATGTATATTTGTGTGTGCTTAGCAAGTTAATAATTTGAGTGGAAAAATAGGAGTAGGCATTTTAATATATTTTTAGATATAAAAGTTAAAGGAAATGTAATTCTTGTAAGAACTGATTAGTATCCAATCTAAACTAAACTAAACTAAAGAAAACATTTATAATATTAAAAGTCAAGAATAACTGCATAAGTATTTCCAAGCATCACTGTTGACATTGTGTGTGTGTGTGCCTGTGTGTGCATGTGTGTGTTTAATGGCACAGTGTGCTATTTGCCAGCCAGCCAAGTAGGCAAATAAGATCCTGTAGGGACAGAAAAAAATGAAAGGCTCACCACTGCCTGCTGGTTGAGTTTATACTTGGGTCATTCAATCTTCCTCATGTTAGTTGTGCCTGTGTCCAGCAGTCATCTCAGTGATTCCCACTTAGAAAATATTGGGGGAGAAATCAATGATTTTTGAAATGGAAATCATTCCTATAATGTTTATGGGGGGGAAATAATACTATTCTGTATCTTAAGTTTCTCCCTTTAGTTTCATTTTGCTGGAGGATTCCAAGATACAAAAACTGGTCAAAAATTATGTAACCCAACAAGTTATTTCAAAGCTGTAACGTTTTGTCATTGAGGGGTGAAGGGTGAGGAGGAAGCAGGGGTCTAATATAATAATAAGGATAAGAACCTGGAGAGGTTGGCCAGTGTGGCTCAGTGGATTGAGTGTTGTTCCATGGACTGAGAGGTCTTGGTTTAATTCCTGGTCAGGACACATGGCTGGGTTTCAGGCTTGATCCTCAGTAGGGAGCATGCAGGAGGCAGCCAATCGATACTTCTCTCTCACATTGGTGTTTCTCTCTCTCGCCCTAAAAAACAAACAAACAAACAAAAATCAATAAAATCATATTAAAAAAAAAAAAAGAACCTGAAGAGATGATCAGGGTTAAGACCTTATTAAATATTATCTTAGGGGCTCCTTAAGTTCAGCAAATACTGAAAGAAACATCAGTATGTGAAGAAAATGTTCTCTATGAATTTTCACCTTATAAAAAGAAACAACCCAGAAAAATGTTAGCAAAATTAGCTAAAGAGTATTATGCTGAGTGAAATAAACCAGTTAGAGAAAGACAAATATCACATAATCTCACTTATAAGTGGAATCTAATGAACATATTAAACTGACAAACACAATAGGTCTTGAGGCATGGAGGCATGGAACAGATTGACATATCTCAGAGGGCTTTGGGGTGGGAGGGATGGGAAGAGATTAGTCAAAGAACATAACATACATATTATGCATAAACCATAGATACAGACAATAGTGTGGTGAAGGCCTGGAGCGGGGCAGGGGCTGGGAGGACAGGGGTAAAAGGAGGAAAATTGGGGAACATCTGTTATGCTATCAACGATAAAATAATATAAATAAATAATTAAAAAAATAAAACCTCAAAAAAAAAAAAAGTATTGGCGAGACCGAAAAATGGCGGCGGAGTGAACGGAGCTACACAGACCGTCTCCCAGAACCAAACTGGAATTACAACTATAACACAGACAAATCGACGGGAAAAACCAACAGAAAAGCAGCTTGCGAGGACCATACAACGAGGGACACTGACTCCATCCCGGTAGGCTTGCGAAGGCGCGAGACGGGGCTGGGAGCCCAAGGTCGGCAGCTCGGCAGCGGCCTGAGCTATAAGCGGCGCCCGCGGGTTACACTCCCAGGCGGCCCCACAGCGCAGCCGGGACAGAGGCTAAAACAGCCACAGCCACTCACCTTGGGCTCCGGCAGAGGGAGGGCAGACTGGACTGGAACTGTGTCGGGACACTCAGGGTTTGGAGGGCTCTCGGAGCTTTGGCTGAGTGCAGCCACTCAGGATGGTGGCCACATTGCTTCTTCCCAGGGCTCTGAGAGAGGCAGCAGCCCCTCCCTCGGAGATCCAACCCCACCCTGTGGGCCATTGAAGTGTTAATTGATGCTCACTAAGGACCAGCATCTGCCCCACCCTCGTGAAAGCCCCTTGGCTGAGCACCAGAGGGAGTTTTTCAATCAACTGACAACCCAAAACTCATCAATTAACCTAGACTGCTAGCCTCCAGGCAAAAAGCTAGAGGATAACAGTACATTTCCTGGGCTGGCAGCTTTAACCAGGAAAGTAAGACTTGACAGTGGTGTTCAACGCGGGTCCTCCCTCGCTCATCTAAACACAGGAGAGGGAGCCACAAACAGCAGAACACCAACACCCACAGGGAGAACTTGACAGGCTCCAAAGCCCACAGTGATAGCTAAAATGGTGAAACACAGAAACAGAAGCCAAATGAAAGAGCAAACCACCTCCACCGAAGATGAGATCAATGTGGAGCAATTAGGCATGTTAACAGAGCTAGAATTCAGAGCCATGATCTTGAGGAAGCTGAACAGCATGAGTAAGGACATAGAGAGACACTGAAAATAAGCCAAATGGAAATTAAAAACCAACAAGAAGAGATAAAAAATGACATATCCGAAATGAAAAACACATTGGAAGGTTTAAAAAGCAGAGTAGGGGAAGCTGAGGACCGGATCAGCGAATTAGAAGACAGGGTAGAAAAAATCAACCAATCAGAAAAACAAAAGGAAAAAACTATTAAAAAACAGGAAGACAGCTTAAGAGAACTATGGGACAACTGGAAACGTAATAATATTCGCATCATAGGAGTCCCCGAAGAAGAAGAAAAGGAGCAAGGGATAGAGAATATATTCAAAAAAATAGTGAGAGAAAACTTCCCTAATTTGGTGAAGGAAGAAGGCATTCAAGTTCAAGAAGCACAGAGAGTCCCAAGTAAGAAGAACCCAAACAGGCCCACACCAAGACACATAGTAATTAAAATGCCACAAATTAAAGACAAAGAGAGAATCCTAAAAGCAGCAAGAGATAAGCAACAGGTTACCTACAAAGGGAACCCCATAAGGCTCTCAGCTGACTTCTCACAAGAAACACTACAGGCCAGAAGGGAATGGCATGAAGTAATCAAAGTCATGAAAAACAAGAATCTGAATCCAAGACTACTCTACCCAGCAAGGCTATCATTCAAAATAGAAGATCAAATAAAGAGCTTCCCAGACAAAAAAAAAGCTAAGGGAATACATTAGCACCAAACCAGCACTGCAAGAAATGTTAAAAGGACTGCTGTAATTAGCAGTAGAAATGGGAACAAAAATAGAACCACACTAAACAAAAATGGCAATAAATAAGTACATATCAATAATCACCTTAAACGTAAATGGACTGAATGCTCCCATAAAGAGACACAGAGTAGCTGATTGGATAAGAAAGCATGACTCATCTATATGTTGTTTACAAGAGACCCATCTCTCAACAAAAGACTCACATAGGTTGAAAGTGAAGGGATGGAAAAAAATTTTCCAAGCAAATGGAAAGCATAAAAAAGCTGGGGTAGCAATTCTCATATCTGATAAAATAGATTTCAAAATGAAGACCATAACTAGAGACAAAGACGGCCACTACATAATATTGAAAGGATCTATCCAACAGGAAGATATAACCTTGATAAACATATATGCACCCAATATAGGAGCACCAAAATATATTAAAAATCTTCTGGAGGACTTCCAAGGAGAAATCGACAACAATACAATCATAGCTGGGGACTTCAACACCCCGTTGACAGCACTGGATAGATCCTCTAGGCAAAAAATTAGCAAGG